GCTCTCCTTTTGGGAGCCCGTCTTTGAGGGTTAGGGCGTCTTTGTTGTCATTGAACCATGGATCTTCAGGGAGCAGCGTTTTCAGCCTTTTTGTCATCTGGTTTCCCCGGTGGTGTCTCAACATCTAGTTTCACCACAGGTGATGGCTTGGGTCACCGGCTGGGGGGGTTGGGATAATGGCATGAATTACCTCCTTGCGACAGCTGTTCAACTGTGGTTTACTGGACAAGGCATCAGCGAGTAGGTTCTTCCCTCCCTCTCCGGGATATGTTTTAATTTGAAGTTAAACCGTTTGAAATACTGCGCCCAGCTACGGCCACATCACTGGCATCTGCCTAGACCATGAATGATTGTTCGGGGTCAGGGTGCTTAAGGACTGGCTCCTCAGCAAACGTATTAAATAATTCCATTGGCTCATTTTTAAGTGATTGTCCACTAGAACTCCAAGATCCCTTTCACAGTTACTGGCATTAAGCCAGGTTTCACAGTTCCGTGATGGCGAACCTATGGCAATATGTGCCACAGGTGGCACACAGAGCCCTCTCTCTGGGGACATGAGCCATTGCCCCAGCTCAGCATTGCATGCACGCATGCATCCCACTGGCCAGCTGATTTTTGGGTCTCTGCCGCGCATAGACAGGGGGCAGGGCAGCCTCCCGCAGCCTGTTTTTGCTTCCAGGAGACTGCAAGGAGTCCTACAAGGCCCAAAATGGGATGTGCGGAGGCATGTGCATGTTAGGGATAACATTGTTTACCCTAACTGGTTTGGGTAAAAATAATAAATATGGTATCATGGTTTGTTTAGTTAAAGTGTCTGTAACTTTAACAGTAAGAAAGTAATTAAGGGTGTGGTTGTAAAAGCACTATATTAGAAGCGAGGCATTTGCAGCTCGCTCTCTCTCTGGCTAGAAGATCCCTAATTACTGGATGATTGATGACTGCGTTCTTGCTGAAACGGGGAGTGAAGAAGTGTGTTGATATTTCTCAACGGAGAGAAGAAGATAAAGAGAGATTGGACAGATTTATTGTAAGTGTACTGACATTGGCTATTCAACACGGACTTTGCAAAATAGTGTATCCCCGACAAGACCTGAATGAAATTGATATATGACTAATGGACCGTTTATTTGACTATGCTATAATTCTTAAATGGAATAAACTATATTTTTGATAGCACATGCGTATCTTTATTTTTACTGCGTGTTAACTAGTAAACTTATCTCAAACATTTACCTGTCTTCCTATCTGACTTCGCTGCACGTTCTGTTTACTTTGTTTTCCTTAACACCTGTTGGGGAATCCAGGCTTAACAGTGCACATGCACAGGGAGCAGGGGGAGCTTATGGGGTTCTGTGCGCTTTCGCAGTGGCGTGCAGGGGGATCATAGAGGTATTGCATTATAGACACGGGTATGTGCTCGCACACTTTTGGCACATGACAACAAAATGGTTAGCCATAATTGACTAGTTTGTACCTATGTCATTGTTTTTTATAATCTAAGTGTAAAACTTTATTTTTACCTGTGTTGAATATCATTTTGTTACATAGGGCCCACGCTTCAAGTCTTTTTGGATCTTGACCTTATCTTCTGGAAATTCTTTCCAGCTGAGTGCCATCTGCAAATTTGATGAGTTCACCTTCTATTCCCTCATCTAAACCGCTTATAAAGATTTTGAGCAGTACTGAGCCTAAAATGCAACCTGGGATACCCCACTGTTTACTTCCCTCCATGTGGGTGTAGTTCCATTGAGGACGACACGTTGAGTATAATTTGTCAGCCAGTTAGAAACCCATTTTGTGGTGGCTGGCTATCCCACACTTTTCTAGCTTGCCAAGAACTAGGTTGTGATCAAATGCTTTACTGAAAACTAAGTATACTATGTCCACAGCCTTTCAGCTGGTCCACTAATTTAGTCACTTTGTCAAAGAATGAAATGTTAGTTTAGCATGATTTGCTTTTGATCAACCCATGTTGGTTACTGGTTATAACTTTGTTTGCTTCTAGGTGTTCACAGATTTATTGCCTGGATATTTTTTCCAAGATGTTACCGGGTATTAATGTCAGGCAGATTTGTCTGTAAATTCCTGGATATATCTTTTTTGAAGATGGGAACAACATCCGCTATTTTCCAGTTCTCAGTTACAGATTGTCTTGAACTTACAACCATAACTCAGTCCAAAAGTTATGTTGTTAAAGTGAGAAATGTAAGTGATCCTTGCCCCATTTTATGACTTTTCTTGCCACATTTAAGTGAATCATTGCAGTTGTTAAATTAGTAACACCAGGGTTGGGCTACAAAAATTTTAGCAACAGGTTCTCTGCCCAGTTGCTGGGTGGGCATAGCCATGGTGGATGTGGCCTAGTCAGCCCCCTGTACCACGGTGGGAGGGGCATTCGTGCTCTCCCCAGGCTCTGGAGGCTTTCCTCGAGCCTCCGGGAGGGCAAAAATGACCTCGTCAGTCTCCCCAGGCTCTCTGGAAGCCAGAAACGGGCCCATTTCCGGCTTTCCCAATCTTCCAGGAGGCCCATTTTTCGCCCTCCCCAAGCCTTCGCACATGCCCTGCACTTACCTGCATCTAAAACAAGCTACATGGGGACTCCGGGGAGGGGAGGGGCAGGGTGGACAGGGCCAGCCAGGAGTGGGATTTGGGGGTTCTCTGAACTGCACAGAATCTTAGCTACGGGCTCTCCCGAAAACCTGAGAACCCCCTGCAGCCCCCTCCTGAGTAACACTGTTGTTAAGGGAATCAGGTTTCCCCATTGACTTTGCCACTCAGCAGGTCACAAAAGGGAATGACATGACTGTGACACTGGATCCATTATAAGTCATTTGTCAAGCATCTGAACATAAATCACACAACCATGGGGGGATGCTACAACGGCCATGTGTGAAAAATGATCATAACTCTTTATTCAGTGTCATTGTAACTTCGGTCACTAAGCAAACTCTCGTAAGTTGAGGTACTCAACTAAAGTACTCCCGTGTTCCAAGGACTTTGAAACATGTTTCAGTGGTTCTGAAATCACCTTTGCTGGTTCCTTCAGAACTCTGGGATGTAGCCTGTCCAAACCCAGTGATTTGAATTGGTCTAGAGCTGACAGCTGTTCTCTTGCCTTATTTTTCCATATTCTAATTTGCATTCCTAACCTGTCAGTTGCAGTTCGGTTTTGATAAGTTGATTTGTGTTTTTCTTTATCAGTGAAAAAACATGCAAATTATCTTCTTTATAACCTAATCCCTGTTCTTATACTCCTGTCAATTAAGGAGGTGTCACTCTGAGCCTCTTCCGAATAGGATTCATACGCTGCGGACTTGATACACTCCTATGGTTTCTCTCCTGTGTGAGTTCTTAGGTGTATCACCACTCTGGAATTCCAACAGAAACTATTTCCAAAACGGGACACTCATAGAGTTTCTCTCCTGTGTTGAGTTCTCTGATGTCTCACCAGGTTGGAACTCCGATTGAAACTTTTCCCACAGTCAGGACATTCAAAGGGTTTCTCTCCTGTGTGAGTCCTCTGGTGTTTCACCAGGTTGGAATTCTCACTGAAACCTTTCCCACAAAAAAGACATTCAAAGGGCTTTTCTCCTGTGTGTGTCCTCTGGTGTATCACCAGACTGGAACACTGACTGAAACTTTTCCTGCAATCAAGACATTCAAAGGGCTTCTCTCCTGTGTGAATCCTCTGGTGTTTCACCAGGCTGGAATTATCATAGAAACTTTTCCCGCAGTCAGGACATTCAAAGGGCTTCTCTCCTGTGTGAATCCTCTGGTGTTTCACCAGGCTGGAATCATCATAGAAACTTTTCCCGCAATCAGGACATTCAAAGAGTTTTTCTCCCGTGTGAATCCTCTGGTGTGTCACCAGGCTGGAATTTGTACTGAAACTTTTCCCGCAGTCAGGACATTCAAAGGGCTTCTCTCCTGTGTGAAACCTCTGGTGTGTCACCAGGCTGGAATTTGTACTAAAACTTTTCCCGCAGTCAGGACATTCAAAGGGCTTCTCTCCTGTGTGAATCCTCTGGTGTGTCACCAGGCTGGAATTTGTACTGAAACTTTTCCCGCAGTCAGGACATTCAAAGGGTTTCTCTCCTGTATGAATCCTCTGGTGTGTCACGAGGCTGGAATTCTGACTGAAAGTCTTCCCACAGTCAGGACATTCAAAGGGCTTCTCTCCTGTGTGAATCCTCTGGTGTGTCACCAGGCTGGAATTTTTACTGAAACCTTTCCCACAAACAAGACAATCAAAGGGTTTCTTTCCTGTGTGAATCTTCTGGTGTCCCACCAGGCTGGAATACAAACTGAAACTTTTCCCGCAATCAGGACATTTAAAGGGTTTTTCTCCTTTGTGAGTCCTCTGGTGTTTCACCAGGTTGGAATTCTCACTGAAACCTTTCCCACAAACAAGACATTCAAAGGGCTTTACTCCTGTGTGTGTCCTCTGGTGTATCAACAGGTTGGAATTTGTACTGAAACTTTTCCCACAGTCAGGACATTCAAAGGGCTTCTCTCCTGTGTGTGTCCTCTGGTGTGTCACCAGGCTGGAATTTGTACTGAAACTTTTCCCGCAGTCAGGACATTCAAAGGGCTTCTCTCCTGTGTGAGTCCTCTGGTGTGTCACCAGGATGGAATTTGTACTGAAACTTTTCCCGCAGTCAGGACATTCAAAGGGCTTCTCTCCTGTGTGAATCCTCTGGTGTCTCACCAGGCTGGAATTCTCACTGAAACTTCTCCCGCAGTCAGGACATTCAAAGGGCTTCTCTCCTGTGTGAATCCTCTGGTGTGTCACGAGGCTGGAATTCTCACTGAAACTTTTCCCGCAGTCAGGACATTCAAAGGGCTTCTCTCCTGTGTGAATCCTCTGGTGTCTCACCAGGCTGGAATTTGTACTGAAACCTTTCCCACAAACAAGACATTCAAAGGGTTTCTTTCCTGTGTGAATCTTCTGGTGTCCCACCAGGCTGGAATACAAACTGAAACTTTTCCCGCAATCAGTACATTTAAAGGGTTTTTCTCCTGTGTGAATTGTCTGGTGTCTCACCAGGCTGCAATTTGTACTGAAACTTTTCCCGCAATCAGGACATTCAAAGGGCTTCTCTCCTGTGTGAATCCTCTGGTGTCTCACCAGGCTGGAATTCTCACTGAAACTTTTCCCGCAGTCAGGACATTCAAAGGGCTTCTCTCCTGTGTGAATCCTCTGGTGTGTCATCAGGCTGGAATTCTCACTGAAACTTTTCCCGCTGTCAGGACATTCAAAGGGTTTCTCTCCTGTGTGAATCCTCTGGTGTGTCATGAGGTGGGCATTCTGACTGAAACTTTTCTTACAAATAGGACATTCAAACGGTTTCTCCCCTGTGTGAATCCTCTGGTGTTGAACCAGGCTGAAATTCTGACTGAATTTTTTTCCACAGTCAGGGCATTCAAAGGGTTTCTCTCCTGTGTGAGTCCTCTGGTGGTTCACCAGGCTAGAATTATCACAGAAACATTTTCCACAAACAGGACATTCAAACGGTTTCTCCTTGGTGTGAGTCCACGTTGCCATG